AACTGCCCTCTGGGCAATTAGGGATGGACAATAAATGCTGCCTAGCCAGCAACACCCTGATCCCGTGAATGAATAGAGAAAAAAAATCTAGGAACAGAATTAGGCTATTCAGCATTGAATCTGCTCTGCCGTTCAATTACAGTTGATATGTTTCTCAACCACATTCTTCTGTCTTCTCCCTGCAATCTTGATCCCCTTGTCAATCAAGAACCTATCTACCTGAGTCTTAAATACACTCAATGACTTGCCCTCCACATCCTGCTGTGGCAATGAGTTCCATAGATTCACAGTCCTGTGGCTGAAGAAATTCTACCTCATCTCAGTTCTAAAGGATCAGCCTTCACTCTGAGGCTATGCCCTTCAGTCCTAGCCTCTCGGTATTCTTTAAGTTTCAATCAGAAGACCCTCATCCTTCTGAATTCCATTGAGTGCAGACCCAGAGTCCTCAACCACTCCTCACGTGACAAGCTGTTTATCCCTGGGATCATTCTTGTCAACCTCCTCTGCAAAACCTCCAAGGCCAGCGCAGCCTTCCTTGTGTACAGGGACCAAAAATGCTCAATATTCCAAACGCAGTCTGACCAGAGCCTTAGCCTCAGCAATACATCTCTACTCTAGTATTCTAGACCTCATGAAATGAATGCTAACACTGCATTTGCCTTCCCAACTGCTAACTGAACCTGCAAGTTAAGCTTAAGAGAGTCCAGAACTAGGACTCCCAAGTCCCTTTGTGCTTCAGATTTCTGAAGCTTTTCCCTGTTTGGAAAATAGTCATTGCCTCTATTTTTCCTACCAAAGTGCATAACCTCACACTTTTCCACATTATATTCCATCTATCACTTCTTTGCCAACTCTCACAGCCTGTCCAAGTCTCTTCTGTAGTCTCCCCACTTCCTCAGCATTACCTGTCCCTCCACCTATTTTTTTTTTGTCATCTGCAAACTTAGCAATAATTCCCTCAGTTCCTTCATCCAGATTGTTAATGTGTAACATGAATAGTTGTGGCCCCAGCACAGACCTCTATGGAACTCCATTAATCACTGCTGCCATCTTGAAAAAGACGCTTTTATCCCCATTCTCTGCTGTCTGCCTGTCAGCCAATCTTCTATCCATGCAAGTACTTTGTTCCTAAAACCATGAGCTCTTATCTTATTTAGCAATCTCCTGTGCAGCACCTTGTCAAAGGCCTCTGGAAATCCAAATAGGCCATGTCCACTGCTTCTCCTTATCTAACTTGCTCATTACCTGCTGAAAGAATTCTAACAGATTTATCAGGCGTGACCTCCCCTTGATAAAGCTATACTGACTCTGCCTTATTTTACTATGCAATTCCAAATACTCTGCAATCTCACCCCTGATAATGGGCTGTAAATTATTAACAATGACCGAGGTCAGGCTAACTGTCTGCCTATCTTCTGCCTTCCTCCGTCCTTAAACAGGAGTGTTACGTTAGCATTTTCCATTCTTCTCAGACCCTCCCTGGTTATGGTCATTCCTGAAAGATCACCACCTGTACTCTACAATCTCCTTGGATTTCTCCTTCAGAACTATAGAGTGTAGATAATCTGGTACAGATGATTTACTCACCTTCAGACTTTTCAGCTCCCCAGCACCTTCTCCTTAGTGATGACCACTACACACACCTCTGCTCCCGACTGTCACGATGGTCTACTGTGAAAACCGATGCATAGTGTCTATTTAGTTCATCAGCCATTTCTTTGATCCCCATTACTATATCGGATGTTGTTAAACTAGAAAAGATACAGGAAAAAATTTACAAGGATGTTGCCAGGACTGGAGGGTTTGAGTTATAAGAAGAGGCTGGATAGGTTGAGACTTTTTTTCTTTGGGGTGTTGGGGTTTGAGGGGTGGCCTTATAGAGGTTTATAAAATCATGAGGATCATAGATAAGGTGAATGGCCAAGGCCTTTTCCCCAGGGTAAGGGAGTGCAAACCTAAAGGGCATAGATTTAAGGTGAGAGGGGAAAGATTTAAAAGGAACCTGAGGGTCAACTTTTTCATGCAGAGGGTGGTGCAGGTGTGGGAAGAGCTGCCAGAGGAAGTGGTAGAGCTGGGTACAATTACAACATGTAAAAGACATTTCCACGGAAACATGAATAGGAAAGGTTTTGAGGGATATGGGCCAAACAAATGGGACTAGTTTAGTTTAGAATACCTGGTTGGCATGGATGAGTTGAACCAAAGGGTCTGTTTCTATGCTGTATGACTCTTACTACTTCTCCAGCGTCATTTTCAGTGGTCCAAAGTCCATCCTTGCCTCTCTCTTACTTTATGGATAACAAAACAAAATCTTCTTTTCTATTACTAGCCAGCTTACTGACACATTTCATCTTCTCCCCACTAATTGCTTTTTTTTTAGTTATCCTCTGCTCATTTTTTAAAATTGGCTTCCCAATTCTCTGGCTTCCCACTAACATATTCAATATATTATGTGCTTTTTCCTTTTATGCTGTCCCTGACTTCCCTTGTCAGCCATGGTTTACTCACCCTCCCCTTAGTATGCTGCATTTTCCTTGGGTGAATTTCTGTAGTGCCTCCAGAATTGCCTCCAGAAACCCCTGCCATTGCAGCTCCACTATCTTCCCTGCTAGGGCCCCTTTTCAATCTAATGTGGCCAGCTCCTCCTTCATATCTTTTCAGCTACCTTTGCTCAAATGTAATACTGTTACATCTGATTCCAGCTTCTCCCCCATAATTATTAGAGTAATACCTTCCTTCTGTGCCTTTTTTGTCTCCTGACTTATTTTCTTCCCGATGCCCAACCTACTGCTGGGATGCCTGTGGACAACTCTCATCAGCGTCTTTTCTCTGTAGTTTCTCAAATCTAATCAAAAACAGATTCTGCACCTTCTGAGTTTATATTATTACTTGCTATTGAATTAATTTAATTTCTTACTAACAAGGCAACCCCGCCCATCTGCCTACCCTTTCGATAGGATGTGTATCTTTGATATTTAGTTGCCAGCTGTGATCCTCTTGCAGTCACATATCTGTGATACCCACAACTTCGTACCTGCCAATTTCAGTCTGCGCTACAAGCTCATATACTTTGTTTCATGTACTGCATGCATTTAAGTACAGCACCATTAGGCCCGTGTTGACTCCCCAGCCCCCCCATTCTACTTATAGTTATCTCCTTATTTGCTGTGCCTGAAGTTAGATTCCTGACTCTTTCCATTCTGTCCTATTATCTGCTCTTGAAACTTTAATAACTTTTGCTGAACACTCTTCTCCCCCACCTCTCCAACACCCCTTAACTTTTTCACTAAATTTCCATACACAGAACCCACCCCCAACTGAACCAACTGAGGTTCAGTGATAATTTCAAAATGGGGAGAGAAATTGACTGCCACTGTGTGTCATAAAGACTTGTAGTTGCGCTAACTCTGCCATTATTGACACGCTGGCTTCTCCGCAGCCAAATGACCTCTATGCCTACAGTGTACAGCCTTGTAAGATTGACTCTCATGAGCAAGTTTTTGAGGAACAAAAGTCAAACTCTTGGCTGGCTCTTCCCTTGTCTTGCAACCTGAAAGCGCAAACTCTCAATTTCTAATGCCTAATTTTCTTGTCTGGTCTTTGAGGCAGTTATCTGATCAGTGTAATTCTTGGAAAATACCATGGAAGGTTTTAATAACAACATCACTTGTACATCATTTGCTTATTGAAATACACATTCAAAACCTGGAAATGCAGGTGGAAATTCATGTCATGAACAAAGTATTATTCAGTATCATGTATGCATGTATGATGTTGCCTTCGTGGCCTAGAAACTGGTCCACTCTAGATTTTAAATAGAAAAAGTAGCCCCATTTCATTTCATTTAATGTACGTGCATTAAAATATAGATGCATTCAGAACCTCAGGGTAGCCCGTGACACTTTGCAGCTAATGTATAGTCACAGTTTTATTCAAGGAAACACAAGAAGTTCCACGTGCAATAATGACTTTCTTTTTAAAATGATGCTTGTTAAAGGAGACGTATCATCCAGGACATGAGGGGATCTCCCCTCCATTCCAACATGTGATTATTTACATCCACCAGAGAGATTGATGGGACCTTTTTTTGTTTAATATCTCATTTGAAACACAGTGCCTCCATTCATGCACATGACCTTCAGTACTGCACTGGAGTGTCAGCTGTATTTACATGTTGAAGTCTTTGAAGTGGAACTTGAACGCACAACATTTTGACTCGGATGAAAATGCTACCACTGAGCTAAAACTGACAGAGATTGTATATTGGTTTTCAACAGGCAGTTGATTGGTGGAGTCTTGGGGTCCTTGTGTATGAACTGCTGACAGGAGCTTCGCCTTTCACCGTGGACGGTGCAAAAAATTCTCATTCGGAAATCTCGAGGTGACACTAGGATAATGTTTTCTATTCTACAAAACTTAGCGTTGAACACCATAATGTGATAACCTCAACAAGGCCCACAGGGAGATTAATTAGTGATTCCCCATGGGCCTTGTACAGGTTATGACATGTGAGGACAAAGCACAAAGTAGTTCGACTGTAAAATTTTTGATTAAACTTTTTGTTTTACATTTAATCACTTCATCCAGTGTTACAGACAATGTTTTCAATATTTGTGTTTTATTCATTGAAGTGGAAGGGCAATCTAAGCTGCATAATGTTGCATGGCCACCTCTTTAGTATGACAGTGACAGTGCCTTTTTATGTGTTGAGGCAAATACCAGTATCACCACTCCAAAAAGATTATTTTAAAGAGGTCAAAGTCAGCATTATCAAGTTTGAACAAGAATTGAGATTGTTATTTATGTGTGTTATTTCTTTGTATTTGCATCCGCAGCTGTGATGCTTAAAGCAGTCTAATGCCACTAGAAAAGCAAAGAATTTTAATTTGTTATGTCAGGTGAACTTCAAAAGTATGCTCCTAAAATTCTTAAAAGCATGCTGTTATGACCTCTAATGTATACTGTTTATAGCTTAAGGGTGGGCCATCTTAGTTTTTTTTAAGAATTGGTAACTTCTTGCTGTGCTAATTTGGGTAGGATTAACCAATTTAGGCAAGAAACTCTGTCAACAACCACAAATGAAGCCTAATAAAGCAGAAACAGTACCGATTCTATTTACACTCTATCAACAATTGTTCTTATAATATGAGATTTAGGGGGAGAGGGTTGCAGCAAATTGGTGTATTGACACAGGATAGGAGATTGCTGAAAACAGTTTGCGGCATAATGTCCTGTGGAAATAAGTACATGAGGTTGCAGTGGTGAAATGCACCAGATCCTTCCTGCTGTAATCTTAGATATTCTAACAGATACAATTTGGTACAAGCCTATTTGCAGCAACAGACTATGCAGGATTACACAGATGTGGAAAAGAGACCATGTACTCAGATTGAGCCTGTATATTGAAAATATTTATCATTTAAATCTGAACACATTTTTTAAACAAAAAAAGGTTACATGTGCTTTGTTTAATTAAACCACTGAGCTTCCAAAATTAGAATTTGCACAAGGTTCCAGTAACAGCTTCAGATCTTTATTCATTATATGTAATTGCTTACAAGTTTCCCTATTAAAAACTAATTTTGTTAAAGATTGACCTCTTATTTATTTTCAAAGGTTTGCCCATTTGGTGTTTTTTCTGAAATGTAGTTCTAGGTACTGTATCCATAGCGTATTGTATTGAGCAGATGTTTGAGTTGCAATGCAAAATATTAAACTTTTTCTGTAACAAAATGAATTCACAAGTGCATTTTACCAACTGCTTGAAGCTCTTTTAATTTTCTTTATATATAGTTTTGGTTTTAAAGCTTATGTGGATCACAGATATATGGTGTGGAGCATCAGTTTTTGTTACTTCCATAGCGCTGAGCTCCAGATTTCAGTTGTGTTACTATCAGGAAATGACACATGAAGATTGTGCAGTCATCCACAGTGAAAAGAATTGAGGGGAAGAAGTCACAGGAAATTACAGTATACAAGCATTTTGGGTGTTATTTTGAATCACCCATATTAGCCAATGGGTACCCAACTACTTTTTAAAGCTGAAGATAGAAAGGAAATTTTACTTCTAAGAGTTTAAAAACTGCTCTTGCGAAATGTAAAACAATGCATGACTTTAACCAAATTTGGAGGAACAATTAATGTTTGTTATCAGTATTGACAAGTTTATCATTAAAGTATAAGATTGTTTTTCTTCTATGTAAATTTGATCAGATTAATCCGATTAAATTTTAATTCTAAACATTGCACTGTTCTAATTTTTGTTTGTGGAAATGTGTCTGTCAAAAAGAATTCTTGAAGGAATAATTTTTCTTTCTTAGGCGAATCTTAAAAAATGATCCTCCATTTCCTGTGGAAATTCAGCCCACTGCCAAGGATCTAATACAGAAACTGTTGGTGAAAGATCCTAAACAAAGACTTGGGTCAGGGCTGACAGGAGCTGCAGAGATAAAGTCTCATTCATTTTTCCAGGTGCTGTATCATTTAGAAACTACTCCAGTCATAAATAGAAGTTTACCTTGTAGCAATAACTAAATGAAGAAGATAGACATAAGTTTCTAATTTTCATTAAACTTCTGAAATTTTTTGACAAAATTGAATAAAAGCATACTTTTTTGTGATTATTTCTAAATTTTGGGATTTGAACTTGCACTGAGGAAAGGTTGAGGCTAATCCAGAAGACTAATACCCTGTATCACCTCTGTCACTTCTTTGTTTAATGTAATTCCTCATGAGTCAACATTTTCTTTGGAAGTTAAGACAAAAATAACTTTCATCATTGTGACAATACTGTGGCTTTAAGAGGTATATTTTGTCCTGATTTCTTTTAAAAAAAAACAAAGATTAAACGAAAGGTAATGAGTAGTCTATGGTAATGTAAACAGCTTGTGAGGCCTTAGAGTTTTTTTTTAAGTTGGAACAATAGAAGCAGCCTGGATGGGCGTGGCAAGCTCTCTCAGACCAGGATTTCTAGTGTTTTTTCAGCTTTCAGATTCAGCAGAAGCTTCTGGAGTTTAAGTAGTAGAAGCTATTTTCCCCATCTCTTGATTAGAGTTAGAAGCTAGGGTTTCTCTTCCTACTGCGGGCGTTGCATGTGAGAAAATATGATTTCTAAATCTGCCTTTTTTTTTGCAAAGGGGTGTATTTATGGGATGTTACTATGTTGGAACAGTTAATTAGTCATAGCTACTGTATCTATTATTCTGTTAAGTTTTCTAATAGAATTAAGTTATTCTAAATTATTCTTTCTTTTGTTGTATTTTAATTATAGTGCTGGAATAAATTGTGTTTTGTCTAACACCGAGTAGTTTGACCAGTCGAATTGCATCTGGAACACAGAACTTAACATTTGCCTTTAAAATAAGAAAAATGTTAGAGTTTAGGCTACCTTCTTAAAATATTTTGAGGGGTTCTTGTCTGGTCCATAACAATCATGCACAGTCCTATTGTGGGAAATATTATTTTGTATATTTAAAAAAATGGAATTTGAAATTGAATAATTCCTTTCTGCTGCACTAACTTGTTATTTACAGTTTGTCATGCCTGATTTTTAGCTATTGATTGTATCCATAGTGCTGAAGTTATAAAATTAATGCTGAAAGCTTGCACACTCGGATCTTCATCTTTCATTATACCCAATATATGCACTGAAAGTTGAAAGTGCACGTATATGCATCATGAATGAGTCTTGAAATCAGATGCTCAACAGTACTATCTGTTACTCATCTTTTAATTACTAACCAAAACTAAAATTATCCCACATATGGTTTTCTAATAAGCTGCAGTTGGTTAGTGAACAACATATTGTACAGCGTTGGTTTTAAACAAAATCTCCATTAAGAAATTATGAAATATACATCAGAATTTGTGTTCCTGGCATGAGCCATTCTCAATGGGAGTTTAGCTGTCGGATAGATTCATTAACATTATTGTTCTGATACTGTGACCTCTGCTGCTGTCCAGTAAGGCTGTATGCTGGAAACGCAATGATGTGAAAGACAACATTAACACACGAGATTGTCATGTTTTAATGTAGCATGGGTTGCTCCTAGAACAAATTGTCTAACTAGTCACATTTTTTTTTACAAACAATCTCTAAAATAATGTGGAAATACAAGCACTAATCTAAAATTGTAACTTCACATCAGTCTCCCATAAGACATTTATAGATCCATAAAGCAGTGCAAAAACACCAAAATATCTAATGATATATAGCTATCTCTCTCACTTCCAAATGATAGATATATTGGAGATAATGGAGAGAGTACCAAAATCACTTGGAAAATGACACTAATCTGACCTTGCAGTTTTTCAAGTGAGCACTGTAACAATATTTGTGAAAATCCATTACTGAAAGCCGAATTTTCATGTTCACCTTTAAACTCATCCTCAAGTATTATTTGGAATGTTTACTTTATAGGTTTTCTTTATATATGTTTCCAAATTTATCTTCAGGGCCTAAACTGGAGAGATTTAGTAACCAAAGCAATCAAACCTCCCATCAAACCAGTCATCCAAAATGAACTTGATGTCAGCAACTTTGCAGAGGAGTTTACAAGAATGGATCCAGCCTATTCTCCTGCTGCTCTTCCCCAGCATACAGATTTATTTAAGGTATATCAAAACATTCAGCATTTGTATGACCAAGCATTAAAGTATTAGCGAATGTTAAGTAAAATCTAGCAATAAAAGAATCATACTGCAGTTGCTGGAAATCTGAAACAGTCACAAAGAATGCTACAGAAACTCGGCAGGTGTAGCAGCATCTGTGGAGAGAGAAACAGAGTTAATGTTTCAAGGCCAATATGACTCCTCTTCAGAACTGAAAGGGTTTGGAAAATGCTTTTCTTTCACTACTTTTTAGAGATGTGGAAGAGGAGCAAAGGGAATGGATGGTGTAGAGTCCCAGGGCAAAAGACAAAGGGCTTATTAATGGTGGTAAAAGAAATGTAAAATGGGTGTAAACATAAATGCAACAGGGAGTAAATACATCCTGACTACAGAGACCAAAATAAACAAGACCCAAAAAAGACAAGGGGGAAGACAGTGAAAGATGTGAGATAAATGGAGAACAGGCAACATGTGGTCAAGATGTGAAGATTGTGGAATTCAATATTAAGGCCTAGAGGCTGTAAAGTGCCTAAGTAGAAAATGAGGTATTGTTCCTCAAGCATGGATTGTGCTTTATTGAAACATCACAGCAGACCCAGACAGAAATGGTAGCATGAGAGCAAGGTGGTTTATTAAAATAGCAAGCAATTGGAAGATCAGGATCATTCTTGCAGACAGAGCAGAGGTGTTCTCTAAAGCAGTCAACCAATCTACATTTGTTCTCACAATGTAAAGGAGACTGTATTGTGAGTGGTGAATGCAACAGACAAGATTGGGGGCGATAAAGTCAAACCCCGCCTCATCTTGAAGGTGTGTCTTTAACAAATCAATGTATAGGTAATGGAATTGCAAAAAGAAGGATAGATTTCATTAGTAATCGACCAGAAAATAGATGATTGACAATTATGCTATTATTTGCACTTCCTTTAGACTGAAAATAATTGTTTGAAAACAAAGGCTGCAGCTGATGGAAATCTAAACTACAAGCATAATGCTGGATATAGGTCAGGTAACAATAATAGAGAGAGAAATAGAGTTACCATAGAAATAGGAGCAGGAGTAGGCCATTCTGCCTCTTGAACCACAGTTAGATCGTTGCTTATCTGATTGTAACAAATCCAAATTCCTGTCTACCTGATAACCTTTCAGCCCTTGTTGAATAAAAATCTATCTACTTGTGTTTTAAAAACATTTAAGGTCTCTGCTTCCCCCACTTTTTCAGGAAGAGTCACAAGGGCTACTGATGGGGGTGTGGGGGGCAATGTCTCATCTCTGTTTTAAATGAGCGACAATCAATTTCTAAATAGTGATCGCTAGTTCTTGACTTTCCTGTAAGGTGAAACATCCTCTCCCCATCCAACCTGTCAAGCCATCTCAGGATCTGATGTTTTAATCAAGTCAACTCTTACTCTTCTAAACTTCAGATATGAGCTTAGCGAATCTAATCTTTCCTCATAAGACAGCCCATCCATTCCAAGCATTAGTCTGTAAACCTTACCTGAACTGCTTTCAACACATTTACATCCTTCTTTAAATAAGGTGACCAACGTTGATACAGTATTCTAGATGTGGTCTCAACAGTAACAGAAGCTTAACCTGCTTACTGTTGTATTTAATTCCCTTCAATAATTGATAATATTTTATTAGCTTTCCTAATTACTTCCTGTACCAGCATATTAACCTTCTGTGACAAATGCACAAGGACACCTTGATCCCTTTGGATCTGAGATCCCTGTAAGTTCTGATCATTCTGGTAATTGTTCATCATTTTGGCATGATGAATGAAAAATAAACAATTTCACATTTTTCCACATACTTGATTTGCCAGATCTTTGCCACTCATATATCCATCTATATCTTTTGGTAGTCTCTTTATTGCCTTGTCACAACTTAATTTCTTTGTGTCATCAGCAAATTTGACAATATACTTTCTGTTCATTCATCCGTTCCATTTATCTCAATTTTAACAGTTGAAATCCTAGCACTGATTCCTGTGGCACACCACTCATTACAACTTATCAAACTAAAGAAAAATCCATTTATACCTACTTTCTGCTTTATATTAGGCAGCCAATCTTCCATCCCTGCCTAAATACTGGCCCCCACCTTGACATGTTCTCAGTGATAACCTTTGATGTGGCACTTTATCAGATGCCTTCTAGAATCCTAATTTCAGTACATCCACCAGTTCTCCTTTATCCACAGTACAAGTTACTTCCTCAAAGAACTCCACTAGATTGGGCAGACATGATATCCCTCTCACAAAACCATATTGACTCTACTTGCTTGCCTTGAACTTTTTAAGGGACCTACTATAAAATCTTTAATAATAGCTTCCAATATTTTATCCACAGATATTAAGGTAACTGACCTATATTTTCTTGCTTTCTGACTGTACCTTTTTGAATAAAGCAGCTACATTTGTAGCTTCCATTGTTATGGGACATTCTCTGAATCAGGGAGTTTGGGAAATTAAAACCAATACATCAACTTTCACAGTTGCCGCTTCTTCTTAGACCGTAGGATAATGTTCTTCAGAGCCTGGGCATTTGTTTACCCACAGCTCCAACAATTTACTCAACCATTTTTCTGGTAATTGGAAATTTCTGAGTTCCAATTTCCTGATTTATATCTGCTTCTGGGGTGTTACTTGGACCCTGTATAGTGAAGGCTGATGCAAAATACCTGTGTGATTCACCTATTATTTCTTTATTTTCCATTACTAGTTTTCCAGACTCGCTTTCTACACAACCAAACACTCACTTTGTTTAGAAATAGTAAGAACTGCCGATGCTGGAGTCAGAGATAACACAGTGTGGAGCTGGAGGAACACAGCAGGCCAGGCAGCATCAGAGGAGCAGGAAAGCTGATGTTTCGGGTCAGGACCCTTCTTCAGAAATGTGTCAGATAGGGCGGAATAAAATCGTAGGTTGAGGTTGAGGATCCTGTGAAGAATGAAAAACAGAAGAGTTCCTTTGCAGAGTTTTTGCATTTCTGAAGCATGGTCCTGACCCAAAACATCAGCTTTCCTGCTTCTCTGATGCTGCCTGGCCTGTGGTGTTCCTCCAGCTCCACACTCTGTTAACTCAATTTGTTTACTTTTCTTTTTGAAATATTTATATAGACTGTTATTACCAGTCTTTATATTTCTGACTAGCCTTCTCTCAGACTCTATTGTTGTTCCTTCTTGCTGTTGTTATATTCTGTCCAATTGTCTGACCAGCCACCTGTCTTTGCACAATTGTCTGCTTTTTCTTCAAGTTTGATATTATCTTTAAACTTGCTTATAACCACAAATTGTGCATCTGTGTCTTTCATCTTTTATGTTGTATTGAGCCTGTATATTGTGAACTGAACTAACACATCGATATCTGTCTAAGCATCTCCTTTAACTGAATTTGCTGATTCACTAGCCTTCTGTTTCCATGCTTCCATAATTGTCCTTTATTTATATGTTAAAAACGGTCTTGGACCCATTTCTCTCACCCTCAAACTGAATCCAAAATTCAGTCCTACTATAATAAGGTGTGGAGCTAGATGAACACAGCAGGCCAGGCAGCATCAGAGGAGCAGGAAAACTGACATTTTGGGTCTGGACCCTTCTTCAGAAATGGGGGAGGGGAAGGGGGCTCTGAAATAAATAGAGAGAAGGGGAGGCGATGATAGAAGGTGGATAGAAGAGCAGATAGGTGGAGAGAAGACGGATAGGTTAAGGAGGCAGGGATGAAGCCAGTACAGGTGAGTGTAGGTAGGGAGTTGGGGTGTGGGTTGGTCAGTGAGGAGGAAGGGGCGGGTAGGTGGGAGGGAAGATGGACAGATCAAGGAGGCGGGGATGAGGACATCCCAGATGTCCTCGTTTTTCAAGGTCTGCAATTTCCCCTCCACAGGGGTCGAAAATGCCTTCGACCGTATCTCTCACGTTTCCCGCATCTCAGCCCTCACACCCCCTCCCCGCAATAACAACAAAGACAGAATTCCCCTTGTCCTCATGTATCACCCCATCAACCTCCGGATTCAACGCATCATTCTCTGTCACTTCTGCCACCTGCAATCTGACCCCACTACCAAGGATATATTTCCCTCCCCACCCTTATCTGCCTTCCAGATGGACCGCTCTCTCCGTGACTCCCTCATCCGCTCCACACTCCCCACTAGCCCCACCACCCCTGGCACTTTTCCCTGCAACCGCAGAAGGAGCTACACCTGCCCCTACACCTCTCCCCCTCACCTCCATTCCAGGCCCCAAGAAAACCTTCCACATTAAACAGATGTTCACCTGCACGTCCATTAAGGTGGTATATCGTATCCGCTGTTCCCGATGTGGCCTCATCTACATCGGGGAAACCAAGCGGAGGCTTGCAGACCGCTTTGTGGGGCACCTACGCTCAGTTCGTGACAAACAACACCTCCCAGTCGTGAACCACTTCAACTCCCCCTCCCACGTGTCCATCCTGGGCCTCCTTCAGTGCCACAATGATGCCGCCCGAAGGCTGGAGGAACAGCACCTCATATTCTGCCTGGGAACCCTGCAGCCCAATGGTCTCGATGTGGACCTTACAAGGTTCAAAATTTCCCCACCCCCAACCTCATCTCAAGACCAGCTCATCTCGTCCCCGCCTCCTTGATCTGTCTGTCTTTTCTCCCACCTACCTGCCCCTCCCTCTTCACTGACCAACTCCCATCCCAACTCCCTACCTACACTCACCTGTACTGGCTTCATCCCCGCCTCCTTGACCTGTCCGTCTTCTCTCCACCTACCTGCTCCTCTATCCACCTTCTATCATCGCCTCCCCCTCTCTCTATTTATTTCAGAGTCCCCTTCCCCTCCCCTATTTCTGAAGAAGGGTCCAGACCCGAAATGTCAGCATTCCTGCTCCTCTGATGCTGCCTGGCCGGGTGTGTTCATTCAGCTCCACACCTTGTTATCTCGGACTCCAGCATCAGCAGTTCCTACTATCTCTCAGTCCTACTATAGTTGTGGCTAATTTGGGGCATCTTCACGATGAGAGAGTTCATTAATCCTATGTCACTGGACAACATTAGGTCTAGTATGTCTGGTCCTGGTTAGCATCAGAGAAAACTATTCCAAGAAACTATCCCAAACGCATTCTATTACCTCCACACCTAGGCTACCTTTCCTACCTGACTTTTCTAGTTTATATGCAGATTAAAATCTCCTATGGTTATCATGGTGCCTTTCTGACAAGCTCTCATTATTTCTCCTTTTTATGTATACCCTACCATGAGGTTACTGTGGAGGGACCTGTAAACCACTCTCACAAGTGACCTCTTGCCTTTATCATTTCTCATCTCCATCCAAATCATTTCCATATTGTGGCTTCCTGAACGGGCATCACCCCTTTTCTATTGTATTAACATCACCATTAACTAACAAAGTCAGTCCACCATGATTTCCTAGTTTCCCGTTCTTCCAGCAAGTTGCCCTCCTGATTTGGAAATCAACATCCTGATTTGAAAATATATCACCCTACTTTCAGTGTCTCTGAGTCAAAACCTTGAAACTCGCTCCCTAATGTCTTTGTGGTCTAACTGCAGCAAATGGACAGCAGCAGCTCAAGAAGGCAGCTCACCACCTTCTTAAGGGCGACTAAGGATGGATGATAAATGCTGGCCCAGACATTGGCACCCACATCCTACGATTTTTTTTTAAGTGTGCTGTACTCTTCAAGATTCAGATCCCATTTCGTATTGTCCTGCAGCTATGTCTACCAAATGGTTACTGGATTGTATTTACCTTTTTATTTTTATCCATTTTATACTTTTTGTAACTTCTAGTGTTATCAGATAATTTACTCATAGATTTGCACCCTTTTATCCTTTTCTGTTATGGTCTGTTTACATTTTCCTATTCGTAACATTTTCTTTTACCTTGGCTGTACTCTATGATTTACACCAACTTCTAAACTTGATCTATTACCCTCGCTATTTAGTTTGAAATGCTATCTACTTCCCTAGTTACGTGAAGAACACCAGTCTCAGCATG